CCCAATCCGCTATGCAACCACTCCTCTTGCTACTCACTTCCTTCCTCCTCCCGCCGCCGGGGGCCAACGCGGCAGAGTCGTCAGGCTGCTGGCCCAAGACATGGGGACCTCAACATCACCTACCCGTTTCGGCTTGAGGAGCCCGGCAAGCCACCTTGCGGATCGCCGTCCTTCCAGCTCAAATGCAACAGTAATCGCTGCGTTCTTGACCAAATCCGTGTACCAGGCGATGAGGTGCTCACTATCTTCCCCAACAACTCCTCCTTCCATGTGGTGGACCACAACCTCCCCTACCCAATGGCTGCCCGCGCCAACGATGAACATCTCGCTCTTCTCACCCCGATTCGTGTTCAGCAAAACCAACAAAGAATTGCTCTTCCTTGGGGTGTGCACGGGTTACCACCGTGAATTCGTCTGGTTTCACAGACTGCCTTGCAACAACAAAGTGGTGCCTCTTCCTTCGTCTGGCTCGGCGACGGCCGAATTTCTCAAGCCACGGCATCCGTGGAGGGATTCCGCCGGGCTGACTCTTCACTGTCGTTGCTTTCTCGGGTTTCCCGATGGAAATGGGGATGACTACATCACCAAGCATGAAGATTGGGCTTCTCGTGGAGTGGAAAGGGTGCCGATGATTGCCCAAGTGCATGGCAAGGGGCGGGGAATGCAGGTACTACGGTGTGAGACCCAGGGAACGAGGCCCAACACTGTAGTGACCGAACTTTAGTACATATCGAAAGTTGAAGGAGAGCTGAAACAAGTTAAAAGCCAGCACTTTGGAGGATGTTAACTCCGGATCGATCCTTTTGCGCGAAGCAAAGACGAAAGCGCAAGAGAGTTAATTAACAGGTGTGGTTCATTCAACATGTAGAGTGGGCCTTAGCCTTCTTCGTGGGTCGGGGCGTTACAAATGGTAATCAGATCCAACTCTCACGGCTTTATGGTTGCGTATGATCCGAAGCTTCGGACAGATTGTGCATGGCTGCTGTGAGGGCATGACACTTGGGTTGGAGAACTGGAAATACGAACGTGGCCAAAAGAGTCGGTCCTGGACTTTTATCCTACTAGGTAGCTTGGTTCAGCGTTCGACGAGGACGTCGGATTTGGAAATACGAACGTGGCCAAGAGAGACGGTCCTGGACATTTATCCTACTATGTAGCTTGGTCACGTTCGACGAGGACGTCGAATTTCCTAAATGGGGGAGTATGTGAGACCTGTGGGAATGAGGCCCAACATCTGTAGCGACCGAACTTTAGTACCACATCGGAAGTTGATGAAGAGCTGAACCAAGTTAAAAGCCCGGACCTGGGAGGCTGTTAACTCCGGATCCATCCATTTGTGCGAAGTGAGGACGAAAGCGCAAGAGAGTTAATTAGCAGGTGTGATTCATTCAACGATAGAGTGAGCCTTAGCCGTCTTTTCCGAGTCGGGCGATACATACGGCGACAACGGCACAAAGTTCGCCTGTGATTGCTCCGGTGACAAGTGCGGTGAGTTAAGGAAATTTAAAACGCACATCAATTTTGCCTAGTTTTTTTGGTTGGAAATAGCATTAGTCTGCTATCTGGAAGTAGAAGTAAAGTTGGCCTACGCCAATTCTAAGAGATGGCAGAACACTCAAAACACACATTTTTTTTAAGAATAGGAGGCCGAAAAATATATGGAGATCAAGCTAAAGTAACAACGTTTTGCTTTATACTCCGCACTCATTTTATTTGTGAATTCTTATTAGATCATGTATTGAAAACTAGGCAAGTGGCGTAGTACTAGTAACGGATTCAAATATCAATTCCATGGTATCTGTTTGGTTGGCAATTATGGTCCTACTAGTGACATATAGTCGCTATCAAGAATAATTGAACACGTCGCCTTTGTTACAGTTAATAAGAATAGATTTCGTCATTATTCCAGTCTTCAACCTATCCATTATTTCAGCCTATATACACTCATATAAACATAGCATACACCAATCAACTTTAGACAGTCGCATATAGTACAGGTCAGCACAAGGGAGTTGCATGTTTCAAATTTCATATGCAAAATATTGAATCGTTTAATATCATTCCTTCCTTTTACAAAAACAATCATTATACTTCTACTTATTTAATTTCCATGCTATTTAGGTATCAACGGGAATGGCAGGAATGAGATAGCACTAATAGGTATGCTTCTTTTGACATTACTTCATACACCGTATCTAACAATCCAAATTTCAGTAGTTATATATAGTTATTTAATGCAATAAGTTAATGTTTAGTCTCAGATATTGGAACCAGCAAGACCTTCGAAGAACTACAATAAAACTTCTTACATATATATATTTTTGCACATATATACAAAAATGAAAATTTTAAACAAAAACTACATGATTTGGAGCAAAATATGTGATCATTATAATTTATTTTCATATTTACAATATAGACTGTTTATGGCCTCTAAATCTGAATGCTCATATTTAACACCTCATTGTTTTGTGAAAAGAAAATAACATCTGCTATAATTTCAGTTTCGATTTCAGTAGCTGCAAGCTTGCTCCTACCATGTATATATGTGTTGGTATGGCATATGCAAAAACTAAGGTTTTTCCTATGCAAAAAGACCAGCAGCACCACAGAAGAGAACATTGAGGCCCTAATATTATTACATGGGTCACTAGCTCCAAAACGATACAAGTACTCCGAAGTAACAAAGATAACATCTTCCCTTAATAATAAGCTTGGGGAAGGTGGTTATGGCATGGTTTTCAAAGGAAGGCTAGATGATGGTCGTCTAGTTGCAGTGAAGTTCCTGCATGACTCCAAAGGTGACGGTGAGGAGTTTGTGAATGAGGTTATTAGTATTGGCAGGACATCTCACATTAATATTGTTAGCTTATTTGGGTTTTGTTTGGAAGGCTCAAAGAGGGCCCTCATATATGAGTATATGCCAAATGGTTCTTTGGATAAGTATATATACTCCGAGAATCCCAAAGCAATTTTAGGATGGGATAAGCTCTATACCATAGCAATTGGGATCGCTCGAGGGTTGGAATACTTGCACCATAGTTGTAATACACGCATAGTGCATTTCGATATCAAGCCTCAAAATATCCTTCTGGATTAGAACTTTCACCCAAAGATTGCTGATTTTGGTTTGGCCAAGTTGTGCCATACCAAGGAGAGCAAGCTTTCTATGACCGGTGCTAGAGGAACACCTGGGTTTATAGCTCCTGAAGTGCATTCTCGAACCTTGGGAGTTGTTTCAGCAAAATCAGATGTTTATAGTTATGGAATGATGTTGCTAGAGATGGTTGGAGGCAGAAAAAATGTTAAATCGATAGCTCAAGAGTCAAGTGAAAAGTATTTTCCACATTGGATTTATGACCACTTTGGTCAAGACGATGGACTACAGGCATGTGAAGTTACACGTGAGAACAAAGGAATCGCTAGAAAAATGAGTGTGATTGGCCTGTGGTGCATCCAAATATTACCAAGGAATCGCCCTACCATAGGAAAGGTCTTGGAAATGTTTGAGAGAGGTTCAGATCAGCTAGACATGCCACCAAGGCAAAACTTCAGTCAAATATTGTAAGATATTATTTGAGACACATATATATTTCAACAATCATTCAGTATCATTTACATCAATGTTGATATAACTATATTTTTCATTCTTTTGCAGCAACGATCCAGCTTACAGTTTGAATGCAGAAAGTTCGAGCATGATTAGTGGTACGAAAACACAAGTTTCTAGTGAAGTGCTAAAGATGAAGGAGATAAGCGTCGTGAATTCAAAAATCTTACAACAGTTACCAACTCTATGAAACGGTTACCTAGAAGTGGAATTTGGCATTAAACTTCTGACTATGACAGGTTTTTTCCGAAAGGCGGCAAGAGGTTGCCAAATTTATACTAATAGAAGGGGCAGCTGGTCTACTAATAGGATATTTGTTTTGAAACAAAAGGCTACTGGTCTACTATGATATCTTTCATTTGAAGTGATAAAGATTAAGGCTTTAAAAGTGGCTGTCTGGATACCAAGCAATGTTAGGCCTTTGTGAGCAAGCTTTTACATTGCTTCCATGAGAGAGCCAAAATGGTTCTCTTTTTTTTCTTGAATACGTACGAGTGTGTGCGTATGATTGTATTAGAAGAAAGCAAGTTTAAATTGCAAGAGTAAGCGACCGAAGGCCGCGCTGAACATAGGGGCTACATTTCTACATAACAACACACGACTCCGGGAGAGGATCTGCCATGGCTAATGCCTAACGAGGCTTCCAAGGCCTTTTGCTCCGGCCTGAATCCATCGGTCCCCTTCATCCTTGATGAGCTGCATAAGCTCAGTCGCCGAGGCCGCAGACCCGCGAAAACATCTTGCATTGCGCTCTTTTCACACATGCCAAGACACGAGGGCGAGCAGAGAGTCCATGCTAGACTGCTGCGGATCGTTGCAGCCTGCTCGAAGATGCTTCCACCAGCTGAAAGTTGTTGAGGCGAGCTGTGGAAACGGTCTGTGCAACACTTGTAGGATGCGGTGCCATACCTCGCATGAGTAGGAGCATGAAGCGATGATATGATCGATGGTCTCCACCTCTTGATCACACAGGTAGCACATTTCCCTTGCCTCGAGCCCGTGTCGCAACCTTCTATCCCCAATCCAGTGGCGCCGCCGAAGGGCCAGCCAAAGGAAAAATTTTACCTTAAGTGGCGCCCACGTCTTCCAAACTAGATGATGGCCTTTGAATTTGATTAATCTAGCGTGCAGCATCTTGTATGCAGACTGAGCGGAATATGCTCCATCTTGAGTCCAGCGCCAGATAAGCTTGTCTGCTAAAGCGTACGCCGTCGGTTGCCTCCCATATGTGCAGGTATTCGACGATAGCGTCAGCAGACATTCCGCCCGAGATACACCGGACCCACTGCCTTTGCGTCAATGCTTGCCTGACAGTTAGGGTCGCGCGAGTACGCGTGGGGATTAGTTGGTAGAGGCATGGAGCCACTTCCTTCAGGGGCGTTCCATTGAGCTAGCAGTCTTCCCAGAAGAGAGCCGTGTGGCCATCTCCGATCTCCATGAACGTGGACGCCCTGAAGAACGCCTGAACTTGAGGCGCGGTCTTGATTGGCAGCTGGCTCCAAGCCTGGTCCGCGTCAGTCTTTTGCAACCATAGCCATCTGGTCTGGAGTGCATATCCAGTTAACTTGAGGTCGCTAACACCAAGCCCTCCTAGCGTTGTTGGCTTGCAGACAATCGGCCAGGACACCATATATTTCCCTTTCACCGAAGCATCATTGCATGCCCAAAAGAATTTCCTGCAGATGGCATCAACCTCATTGCGTGCCCAGGTTAGCAAGTCTTCGGCCATCATCATGTAGATTGGCACTGCACGAAGCACTGATTTCACCCAAACCAGGCAACCACTCCTGGCCATGAGCGAGCCATGAGAGGGTGGCAGCTTCCGGGCGACGGATTCTACTACCTCCTAGAAATGTGCCTTTGGGATCGTTGGTACTCAACGGCAGTCCAAGATATTTGAGAGGAAAGGGCTGAACCTGACAACCGAGAATACTGACTATAATGTCAATATTGTCTTCCACACCATATATCGGAGTGATTGAGCATTTTGACAGGTTGGTCTTCAGTCCTGATGCCTCTCCGAAGATGGTTAGGATTCTCTTGACCGCTCGGGCTTCCTGGACTGTTGTCCGAATGAAGAGGATCACGTCATCCGCGTACATGCTGCACTGATAACGGACTTCGGACGGCTCCAATTTCCGAAACACTCCGTCGTGGGCGGTCTTGATGAACAGCCTGTGCAACACATCCATGGCAATGATGAAGAGCATCGGTGATAATGAATCCCCTTGCCGCACTCCCCGCAAGTGCTTGATCGGTGGTCCTTGCCGTCCATTAAGTAGGATCCGTGAAGACGCTGTACAGAGCAGGGATTCGATCCATCTACGGCAGATGTCGCCAAAACCCCATGCCTGGAGGACCTCCAATAGGAATGGCCAGAAGACAGTATCAAACACCTTCGAGATGTCCAGTTTCAAAAGAAAAATTGGGATCTTTTTCTTCCTGATCATAACCGCCGCCCTCTGTACATATTTGAAGTTGTCGTGTATGGTTATGTTCCTGATGAAAGTGTTCTGGTTCTTTGCAATGATATGCTGGAGCCGAGGCGCAAGACGCAAAGCCATCAACTTGGACACAAGCTTGGCAAAGCTATGCACCATAGTTATTGGCCGGAAGTCTCCTGGTGGCGAAGCGCCCACCTTCTTTGGCAGCAGCACAATCAGAGCGTTGTTTAGCCTGTGCATCGACCTAGTCTCATGTTGTGTGAACGCTTGTATCGCCTCCATGACCTCCAGCCGAATGAGTGCCATGTAGATTTGTAACATACGCCGGTGAAGCCGTTGGGGCCCGGCGCCTTATCCGCCGGCATTGCCTGGATGGAGAATGTGACCTCTTGATCAGCTAAATCAATTGGTTCAGTACCCAGCGCCTAAAAGTTCAACGTGTTGCCCGTGGACGCGGCAGTCCCGAACACTCCTTCGAAATGCGCGTGGAGTGCAGCTTCCATCCCGTCGTGGTCTGCCACCAAGTGGCTGTGCACATTAAGGGAGGTTATGAGTAGCACCCCACAAGGAGTCAAGGACATCAGAGACGACGACGTCCTGGTGTCTGGCCGCAACCAAAATACCTCCACGTAGACGACTGGGGAATGGCTCCCAACTTGGTCTCCATCAGACAGACTATGCTCGGTCTGATGTCGTTTACAAGCGTTCTTACATTGTCTCGCCGCGCTCTCGTGTTGAGGCCGCGAACGTTCCAGGAAACAATGGTCGTGTTATCCATTGAGATGTACAACTTGGTCCAGGCACACCGAACCGCCTAGACGGCGATCAGCGTGGGCCGGCGGGTTGCTCTACCAGCCCGCGTTTGAACTGCTGGGAACAACTCATCAAAGGCTGTTGCTTGGGTCAACGACATGTTACCCTTGAAGATGGACTTGTACGAGCGTTTCGCTGCAGAAGAGACTGGGGCGTTAGGTGGTTGGACGCCCATCTTCTTCATTAGCAACACTTCAACGCGTTTGGAGGCCGGATTGTGGCCCAATGCGACTGTTGCGGTGCGGAACGGTTGGCCTCCTTGCTGCCGGCTTCTGTCTTGGCGGCTCGGCAATGATTGGCGAAGGCCTCTTGACCCGAACAGCTTCAGCAAATTTCTCTAGCCGACGTGCCGCCACCGACGACGTGGGCGTGGCGTCAGTTGGCGAGGCAGCGACTGGTGCATCCGGAATGGCCGGCGCCGGTGACTGCGCTCCCGAGGAATTGGGGGCCGGTGCCATCCGTGCGCTGCTAATGCCTGCAGTTGGTACTGGAGTGGCCGGCACGGCATCAGGCGTCGGGCAAGCAGTAGTGCCAACGACGTTGGGCGTGCACTCAGCTCCGTCCTCGCTGGGGAGACCTCCATCGCCCTCCTGAGATGCAGCCGGGGTGGCCGTAGAGGGCGTTGCATGCAAAGTAGCGGGAGCTGATTCGGTGTCGATGTTGTCGGTAGCGCCTGCAGTATCTTCCTGGGTCGGCGCATGTTCCGTGGTACCGCTTGCAACCCCGCCTCAAGAACCATGGGGTCCGAGGCCGGCTTTTCAGCAGCATCTCCATCCTTGTCGCTGTCCTTCTCGCTGACTGGATCCTTGTCACTCTTTCTTTTTTCACTTATGCACCACCCCCATATGGCCCTATAGTTGTCCGTCGCCCGTAATCTCCCAAAACACTAACTTCATCGGCATATGCACTGGAATCAAGTAACTGAAATACTGAATAAGTATTCATCAGTGAATTACATGTTGTAGACAACTCTAGACAATGATGGAGTTATTTATGAAGATGGCAGCAGCCACAATCACAACAGCTGTTGCGCATCTCCGCGGTGAGACAGCAACAACAGCAACTCGATGCTACTCGTAGGCTCAATCTGTCTGACAAATTTTCCACGCTTGTTGTTTTTCAGAAAGTTAGACAGATCACCCAGACGTTAGGGAGTGTGGCGCTGGCACATCGAGCTAGTCCTCTCTGCTTGCTGAACAGAGGACTCTGGAATTGTCCATGTGTTTGTGGGCGCTCGATCAAATGTACATCACACTTTTTACCTTTTATTAAGAAAAGACGAATATACACGGCACTTAAATGCTGCCACTTGACCATGTCATTTTCATCAGTGCACTGATCAGCATTCGCACAGACAAGAAGCAAATCACTAAAGCTGTTCAAAACCCCTTTCGCATCCGTCCATGACTTTGGCACTCTTGTGTTGAGCGGTATCGTATTATTAGCTCCCTTGTTGCACTTCACTAGACGTGCCCTGAGAGCCACGACCCACATCCAACGGAAGCAGAAAGACAAACTGCGCTCCGGCGAGACGCGACGCAAGGGTCTTGAACATCTTGTACCCGTTCATGTTGTGCTCACTGCTCACGCAGTCACGCGCGACGGTGTCTCCGTGCCTGCGATTTGTAACGGGTTCCATCCGTTTGGAGTGGCCGACGGTGCGAGCTGCGCTGCGTCAACGCGCCCGTTCCTGTGCTTCTGTTCTGAGCCTCTGACGAGTCCACAAGTCACTTTATGATGACGCGTACAAGTAGGCTGGAAGGAGGAGGACGTTAGCGTCTCCTTCCCGTTTTAAGCTCGTCCCGGAAGACGCAATGCAGAATTGCAGTAACTGTAGTGGCGGTGAAGGGGCCATTCGGTAGAGCTCTGGCTCCGGCCAATTACCTGCGAAGCAGATTCACTTAGAGAGCTAAATCCGTTTATAATGTGTATGATCATTTCATTCCTTACTAGTATGCGATTAGTACATATAGTACATGTTTCATAGGATCATACATAACAAATGAAATGTTTAAATTCATAGCCTACCACCATTGCTTAATTGATTAGTTGATCTAGTGGTTAGTATATGAATTTGTTCATGAGCTAATAAACCCAAGTACTTAATTTAATTTGGAATGCTAAAAAAGTGATAAATACAACATTGACAAGATAACCCTTGTAAGAGGTGTGAAGAAGCTTATAATTGATTCAAACCGGACTTGGAAGTTTAAGCAAATCAATTTAATTCAAGTCAACCATAAAAGCTCATGATAATAATAAGAGTACAAGCACAAGACAACAATGCAAATATATATCTAGTTTGTTTGTTTCAAGTGGTATCTAGACTCAAGTATTTCATCAAGAATTCACAAGTGATGTCTAGATCAACTCACAAGTGATATCATATAAATGGTACTCATTAAGATAGCAAATGTTCAAGAAATAATTTTTATTGATAAATCGAACAAGTGGTTCCATACAAGAAAATTATTTCGAATGGTATCACATCTACACGTGGCATCAATCATGCAAGACGATGGTTCCACAAGTAATCATCAAAATAAAGAATGCATCCCTCACTTTCAAGAGTTCAAGTTTAGCAAATGGATGGCCCACGATATGATATAGGGGGAGGTGTCCCACAAATTGGTATCAAGGACGAAGATCCTATGTGTGGTATCTCAAAGGCTACAAGTGGTGTCATTCCAACAATCAAGTGATGTCCATAAAAAATGCAAGATTCAAGCCTTAACCATCTATCCCAAATATAAACCTTTGCATCAATGATAAGCACATCTTTTATGGAAATTGATGACAAAGGGGGAGATATTGTACAAATATATGAAAGCTTTGAGAGAGATTGAGACAAAAAAGTAGAGGTTGGACATGGACATGGACAAAGAGGGAGCAACATTGAAGAAAAGAGATGGATCAAAATTCTTGGACAAGAGAAGCACACAAGTAGGGGGAGCAAGCTCATGAACTTTGATTAGTTGCATTTGATATGTGCATAGTCATGTGCTTGCTTTCATTGCATAAATTTCTTAAATTTGATATGCATGCTTATGTGGTGTATGCTAGTTGTAGAACTTGAATGATGATTTGATAACTAGGATGCATAGGATGGTAGCTAGACATGTATTCCTACACGTGATATTAGAACCTTGCTTATAATGTTGATCTCATGGGGTTTCTAGTATTTTTGTTGTCTAGTTACTTATGGTGCTAAGGATGGTACTAAAAGTGCAACTCTGATTGGTATCACACTTTAAAGGTTTACTCTATACACCTTAGCATCATTTGGTAGTAATTACTCTCCCACAATTCCAATCTATGCATATGTGCGAGCTTCAAACCAAACACTCTAGCACATATATAGGGGGAGCTAATACTACCATTTCGGGTTTGTGGTACTTGTCCAAAATCATTTACACATTGTAAAATTGCTTGGGCAAGCAACATGAATCCAAAAGAACTTAATTTCCATATCTTTGTAGAGTTATCATCAATTACCAAAAAGAGGAAGATTGAAAGATCCTTGTGTGGTTTTGGTAAT